CGTTTTGGAAAATATCAGCGTTTCGTGTTCGTTTTGACTTCGTGTGGACGGGGCCTTAGAAAGTCGGTTTCCTAAACTTCTTGAACGTAAAATACATGCCAACTGTTTGACATCATTGTCCTGACAAATAATCATACATGTTTGTAGGATATTGGCCCATAATAGAATTATAACCAGGTTTTTACTAAGATATTACACAAATAAATCTAAGAAATTGAAACAATTTTGGTTTTAGGTAATTCCTAATGAAAAGACTCGTAAAAAATGGATAAATTCAACATCATGCAGGATGAAGGTCTGCTGTTCGCTTGCATAGCAGACTGATAACTCAACGTTTCTGTGCAGAAGTCATGGCTGATGAAGGCGTTGAAAGGTGCTGCTGTATAATGTGACGTTTGCAGGTATAATGGTGGTTGCTGACGTGGGGCGTTGGCTGCTGTGGGTTCAGTCAGAGCTGGAATGGCTCCACAGCTCTTCAACTGGAAGGGGGGTCTGTCCTCTTCCTCCAATGTTCCCATTACACAGCGCTGCCCTTCGTCTTGTTGCCTGGCAACAGACATTGCCTTAAATACCCGGCTACCCAGACGGAAATAGTGCAGAGACATCGACTATATAGCAGGGTTCACTCCAGGCAATGCCAAATTGTGTCTCAGTCTTGTTCATTGTTTTGAGAAAATGTTTGTGGGGAGGGAGTGTGTTGATTTCCTTCAGTGTGGCTGAGCCTTGGCGGCTCCTCCTGCTGCAAACAGCGCTGTGCCATCCACGAAAGTGGTTCCCAAATGAGCTTGCACACTAGGCTGCACTCAAAACATGCTATTATCTATGCAAATTCTGTCGCCCCAGTAGGGGAAAAACTAAGGCACCAGACACTCCTTTAGAAATCACAATAAACCCAAAGCATCTGTAGAACACAATCAGAAGGGTCCCTGGTACATTAGGTCATGAGTACGCAACTAAAGATACTGTCTAGATTAAGGATGAACATTTTTTTATTTACTGGATAAAATGCAGAGCAATGTTAGTCACTCTGGTCACATGCATTTCTCTATGTTAATTAGTTTATCCCCTCGGGAGTGCCATGCTTGATGGATTCATCTCATTTCAGCAGCAAACCTTCTGAGTATAGAACAGCTAGACACACTGAAAACGAAATAATTCTTCTTTTTAGGTATGTAGATCGGTTCTGCAGGGGAAAGACTAGTTTAATCTTTGAGGCATCCAAAAAAAATTCCAAATTTCAAAATAAAAGTCTCCCATTTATACTGTTATAAAGCCTCTATTGACCTAATAACTGGGAAATAGACTGATTTAATAATTGGAAATTGATTCTATATCACTGCTGGGTCTAACCCTTAACACACAACCTTGCTAGACTTTCAAAGTAAGAGTCCAGGGACAGAGTTGTTTTTAACAAAATCACCAGAGAAACAGCTCAGTCAGACGTCTCTTTTCTACACCAGCTTCTTTAGTCTGACATTATTTTCTATTTACTGATCCTTCCATCATTTATTAAAAATACAGCAACCAGTTTACGGTATCATATTAAAGGAAGTAACTAACCAACTTCTCACCTTTGTTCATAAAATACCAAAAGTAACATTAGAGATTTTATAGAAAAAAAATCCACCTGAAATGGTTTTTGAACTACTGGTTGTTATTGATGATCAGTGTTTTTCTTGAGCAAAAACATTAAGAAGTAAAGTATTTGAGTACAATTTTTTGGTGCTCTACCCACCACTGATTATGTTCTTCAATATATTGCAATATATTTTTTTTAATGAAGGCAATCCTGTAAAACTATACCAGGGGGGTCTGGGTCTTATCTAACTGACCTAAGACCTGCTACTAAACCCCAAGTTTTTATCCTGAGCAATCTGATCATTTAGAATGTTTTAGCATGTTTTAAATTCAATTCAATTCAGTTTATTTCTATAGCGCCAATTCACAACACAAGTCATCTCAAGGCACTTTACAGTTCAACCAGATCATACA